ACACTGAGAAACTCATCAGTAACATGCAATGAATACTCCTCACACCGCTATTATTTCTGTTTTCTCAGTAGTAGTGATTATATATTGTTGAATTACAAGAGTTACGAATCACAAATCCAAAAATACTCAAAAGCTGTCATCACATATTTTAGGGTACAAAACCAGCATCTGCAGAGAACTCGTGAAAAAACTCTCTCTCCCATTAAACACTCTCATTTTGAGATTCAAACCAAGGACCTGCCAGTTACCCACTGCACTATGACATTTAGTACTCTCAGCGCGTCAAAAAATGTTAATACACAATGTCTTAGAAAGGCGTAATGGTTTTGTGCTACACTGCCATAATTACGTGTTAAGAATAAGTTTTAAGTGAAACATGGAAGTGATAAGAAGCAATTGTAAAGTTCCTGGTGGACTGAGATACTAATTTACACTCAACACACACAACCTTCAAAATACATATATTAACAGTTTGAGCAACTCAATGAACCTACTGTAACCTAGCGTTATCAACCGAATGACAGGCAACCAGGAGGGACTTCAAAGAGAAACTTGTTTGTGATGACTCAGAAAGTATCAGCCAACAGTTTTCAGAAAGTAAAACTGCAAAGTATTCAACGCATGCCAAGTATAAGTGATATATGTATAATATTACAGTTATGTTATTGGTAACGATTTATAATGCAGTAAAAAAATCTTCTGTTGGGCCATAATGTGATTGAAAATATCTTCTACTCACACAAATTTTAAACACAGGCCACACTATTCACCCAAAGATGTAACTGAAGCAATCATTCTTAAACAAATAAATCAAACATTATTGAAGTTGTTAATATATTTTGCTCATATTATGATGCATTTTTATAAGAATGTTCCAATAATGCAAATTCAATATTTGGGCCTAGGAGAGAAGACGGAGGGGCATGGAGAAAACTGCATAATGATGAGCTTAAAAATCTGTTCTCCTCCCCCAATATTGTCAGGGTGATTAAGTCAAGAAGAATTGGATGAGCGGGGTATGTAGCACGCATGGATGGGACAAGAGGTGTGCACCGGGTATTGGTTAAGAAGTCTGAAGGAAAGAGACCACTAGGGAGACCTAGACGTAGATGGGAGGATAATGTCAGGCGGGATCTATGGGAGATAGGAGTTGAAGGATACTGGATTTTGTTGGCCCAGGACAGGGACCGGTGGAGAACTTAGGTTAATTCGGTGATGACCCTTACGGTTCCCTAAGCCACCTAGTTAGTTAGTTAGTTAATGCAAATTCAATGACAGGTTATATTACATTGTGTTTGATCACTGTGAAACCTTCATGGTAATGTCATTAAAGTACAAAGTGAGCCCCTTTTCTAGTTGAAAAGTTGGGCCATTTTTAAGTAAAGAAAACTAACCATATTGCATGTCAGGATAACTCAATCCGTATTGTGACCAGGGTAAGTAAAGTAAAGCTGCCCCACTATATGCCATGTAGGCGCTTGGGGGGGAGTGGAGGTATAGCTACTACTCATTCTTGACCTCGGCACTAGATGGGGGTGAGTGGTCAGCATCACGCCCCGGCCGGCTTTACCCCCGGGAAAGGAACCCGGTACCCATTGGATAGGAGGCTGGGTGGGCCCCAGAGCTGGTCTGGACGCAGAGGCTAGAGGAAACATCCTCTGCCCCCGTCGGGGATCAAACCCCGATTGCCCAGTCTGTAGCTGTGACCAGGGTTCAATTCCTAATACAAATAGTGACCTTTCTGTTCATCATTGTGTTCACACTAACTCTGGGGTTCACCCAGGCTCGTGGAAATCAGGCAACCTCCACCTAGCGCCAAGATTAAGAATTGTGTGTGGCTATCACCATACAGTAGTATTTCAGGTTATCACAGTGGTGAGTAAAAAGATAAGTTTGTGCCCTAATGATGGAAGCAGCAATGACATTTAGGACAATCACTTATTGCATGTGTCGCCCTCGACGGACTAGTGGTTAGCATGCTCGCCACTGGACCCAAGGCTGTTCGCGGGTTGATGGATTTTTAAGGGCGATAAAAATCTGCATCACAACTTCCTTCGGAAGGGAAGTAAAACAGGTGGTCCCATGTTATAGATTTACAGTGTGTAAAAGAACCTTACGAGCATGATACGAGATGTTTCATAGGCAAAATTCAGCAGCCATTTCTCACCCAAGTCTCCTGATTAACTGCCAGATGACTCTAGCAGTCAAATCAGAATTGAGTAAAAATTGTGCAGTCAGTGAGCTAGTCACTCACTACTTATAAATGCATACTTGAAGACCAAGAAACCTCTGAAAAAGGAGGCGGCGAAAACCCGCAAACAGGTTGTAGAGCCAAGAAACAACAAAAACTTATTGCATGTGGATGGATGAATCATACATTATTTAACCACTTACTGACTTTTTTAAATGGCACCTTGCTTGTTCATACAAGTGAGTTTAGAAGAAAACCACATTTAAAAGCAGATACATTTACACTGCAGCAAATCCGTGTTGCAGACATGCAGCATGGCCATTTGGACAGAGTAGCTGACCTCATTTTGGAAACTATATTAATCAAAGGGTTAATGATGCTTTATCACAAAAAAATGCAGCATCATTTAGCATTGGATGATATGATAATGTCTGCATTTGGGAAATGGAAAGGACTGGGAAGGAAGCAGCCATGGCCTACTATAAGGTACTATCCTTGCATTCATATTAAATGACTGAGGAAAACCACAAAATACCTCAGTCTGGATGATTGGTGACCCATCCAAAATTCATAGTGCATACCCCTTGAATACAAGTCAAAATTTTTGCTTGATTGATTGATCTACACAGATATGGACACAACAGAACACAAAGAATAAACTTACTGTAAAGACATAACTAACAAATCAATAATTAATTATGCAACTTACTGCAATTCATGCAAAAGTTCATTCCACATTTTTATAATTACTCAACGACAAGCACTAAGGCTCCTAACCTTGATAAGCATAGGTTTCTGTGACATACTTCACATAAAAATGTAAAACAAATACAAATTACTAATGGCTTCAAACTCATATTTTGCTAAACTAAATGAGATGTTTCTCCACTGAACAAATTCTACTTACCTACTAACTAAAACTGCCTTCAAACTTGACAACTTCACATAACACATATCACAAATCTACATGTTCCATGCTGAAATTAATTCACCCAGATAAAGACAGTACAATACTAGTAACACAAAATAATGGTGACATTCTAAATGGCCTTTGCCTCACTCTCACTCTCACATACACACACCAATGGAAAGGATGCACAGGACTTGTTGAGCACCCCTGACAATTGTCAGATTTATTCTTACCTAACTTTTTCTTATTGGGTTACTTGAAGGTCTAGTCACAAAACCAAAAGGATGATGATTCATACAACAAACTGCCGCAATTTCAGCAACAATCCTGCAGCAGTCTTGTTTTTGAAAAGCATGGACTGAATGCTAACTGGCTAAACAACTATTTAAACAAAATTCCATATGTGTTGGATAAACTGCTCTGTATATAACATGATCTGATACCTCCAGCCTTGCTCAGCTTTCCCCACCCTATTTTGCAGCTTAGGAATAATAATACTGCATGTAACTTTCTTGTCTCCTTCCAGGAAGTAAGAAAAGATATGAAGAAACAGCTGATAGCAAGCATACTTTGGGTTAGATCAGTCCGTCAGGTTATAACATAAATAGGGTTAAGTATACAAACTAGTTTTAGTTTTACTTGGGTTAATTAACATTTTTTAAGCTGGATCAGATTTAGTATGGTAAGGGCAGTGTTTTCCAAAGTGTATTCCAAAAAACCCTATGTTTCCCTATGAATTCACAGCAATTCCCTGAAAAAAAATTCCCTGTCTAAATTGATTATAAAAGATAATTTATAAAAGAAAGGTTCTATTAATATTGAAAGCTAAGTCTGTCACAAATAATTATGTAAAATGGATTTCTTTGCAAAAACAAATAAAACTTCTGGTTGTGGATTAAAATTTTGGGGGGAAAAATACAATATCTTGAAAAGAAAATGATCTTACTTCACACATCATTTAAATGACTTTTATTTGGGGTTATGGGAAAATATCTGTTATCAGTACTGGTAAAAACAAAATGGAATGGAATGATACTACAATAGTGATTAGCACTACTTCGTATTCTATACTGGATCACAAGTTTAACTGAAACCTATTGATGAATTTCTAGAGCAGACTGATTCAAATGTACTCAGCACAGAAGACAATGAGTATCTTGTATGATGATGAACTGTGTTTTCTGGTAGATACAGTAGACACTGACATTTCAGAGGAGCTTACAGCCTCCAGTAATAATGACAATGATAGTGGCAGTAAGCACCTCTGAAACATTGGTGCAACAAACCAGAAGATAGCCCTCTTCATTCTCATTGCCATAGGACTGATATCTCATGTACTCATACTACAAGCTTCTTCCATCTGCCACATCATCTCTGTATAAAACTGGTTCCTCATGACATACTGCAGCAGAAACAAATAATCATTACGATTTATGTTTCAACTACCATTAGTATTATTTCCAGTATGCAGTGATATCTCAATAAAAGTACCACAAACTTTTATCTGAATATAGTACCCTACCCTGATCAATTTTATTAATTTTCTGTTCCTTACAAAAGCCAACTTCTTAGTATCTATGGTTTTTAGTTTTGGGTTCCATAGCATTTAATTTTTAGCCAAGAGGATTCCACAGAAAAAAGATAGTACACACTTTTGATCATGTACATGCTTTTTTTCATCTAGTCACATTTGAGGAGGGATAGTCCAATATATCGCTATCCATGCCACCAATACCTAATACAACAAGTGTTGTGATATAACTGCAGAAATCACATGTTCCCCTACCACTATCAATTTGCTTAAAAACTGAGTCAAAACTCCTCTATGAACCTACCAAATTACAGAGAACACACAGTATACACACTGACATTTATATGTACATGGCGCGTTTCTCTTACCATTTCTAGACACATCCAATTCCACCAAATTTTCAAAATTCTGGATGTCAGGCGGTAAACGATGGATTTCATTATCACTTAATCCCAATCTTCTTAAGCGATGTAAACGGAAGAAGTTCTGAAAGAAAGGGATAATGACTCAAAACACAAGATAAATTAGCTATCATGCTGCAAATCACAAATGACATTTACTGATAGACGTGTTGAAGGTACACAATGTGACCATCTACAGGAAGCTATACAAGGTTATTGTAAATTACATTTGCAGTTGTTTATGATATGAGATAGTTACCAACACAAATCACAACGTAAACTCAACATTACCTTCGGAAGGTCTCGAATATGATTAGCGTCTAGCAACAGTTCTTCCAAACTTCGCGAATATCTCAAGATGTCTTCGGGAACAGTCGGTAGTGAACAGTGACGCTTGTCAACATATTCAACCTGCCGATTACAACCTTTAAATATTGGAATACAACGAAACATGACGTCTCACGAACGTATAACACTACACATTATAATTAACTGCACTCACTCCACTAACACAACATTTAAAAACTTTTCAGAAATGACCAACATCAGTATCACCGTACAACACCCATTCCAGGTTTGAACACGAAAACTACTGTATGCTTGAAAATGACGTCATCACATTGGGATACACAATCGACACCCATCATGTTGGCTCGTCTACCTCTATCTGCCGATAAACTGCAGACACTAGGTTCACATAGCGTCTTTTGATGAAGCTCGATGAATTGAAATAAAGAACATAGTTCTGAATTTCTTTTTACGAACATGAACGAAAATGTCCGTCTTCCAGCATATTTAAACTCGAGAACCCCTGGACTGATTTTAAAAAAAATTGGTACGTGCGTGTAATTTGGTTCATTTGCCGTGGGGTTTTATCTAAATGACCAAACGAAGTCGACTTCTATATTCAGAAAAACTTACATAAGAAAATATAGATGTCAAGATGTTACAGTGGTGTTCACAGATGATATGTTAATCCATGTGAGTCCCGTCTGTATGTGAAAAGCTGTTTGATCAGATCCAAAAACGAGTTCTGAACGGAAAAGTTCTCAAATTTAACAGTTTTCGCGTGTATCTGTTACCCCTAATTCAATTTTTCACCTTCATGACAACATTGCACTTGTATTTTTGGAATATTTATTTCTGAAATGGAACAGAAGTGTAATGTAGGACTCCCAATCAACGTTGGATTCATAGGAGCGGGAAATATGGCTAAAGCTATTGGTGAAGGATTGACACATTCAGGTACTAAAACGTCATAATAAATTAAACATTGGAAGAATAAGCTTTTGGCCTTTCTTGATCATTTTATGGCTATTGTGCAAAGATATCAATGCTGAGGCACCTAGCATTCTAGGATCAACTGTGACATGTAGGTTCTCTGAATAGATTGCATTTGTTTTCCATACCATTATCTGTATAATGATACAGTTCATTTGCTATTATGAGTACTTTTTTTTTGTATTTGCTTCATATTTGGTTTGGGCTGGCCTACATGCGATTTCTCTGTTTTCCCTAATCCATTCAGCAGTCGGCTGATGATACGGACTCCTTGACTTATACTTTTTCATGCAAGTTGCATCTCAGGATTTTGATGGAGACAGCCTCCATATGTGGACTGCATACGTAGTGGAAGAGGGATGGGGTTAACAGCTCATCACCATAAAAATAATTAAACAGTGCTCCACACTTGGATAGTAGGGATGAAAAGGGAAGGGACCACTTTGGATTTTAAAATAAACAGTCAGATGCAGTTAGGTGAAGCTTCCTAGATCTTAAGTTGGAAAGTGCTTAATACCCTTCATTGTTTTCATATACCAGATATACCCACAATGCATGTATGCAGCTGTATTTTGAATACGTGGAACATCACACTCCACCATTTAAACTTATTTTGGGATGGTGTCCCAGCTTACTGTATCTGTTTTGCTGTGTCATAAACTTCAGAACAAGTCAATTTTGTGTATCAAGAATTTACAATTCCAGTATACTGAATATACAGAAAGCTCTTGAATGGAGAGTTTTATTAATTTCAAGAATACTTACTTTATTTCAGGAATGATTAAGCCATCACAGCTGTATATATCTGCTCCTTCAGATAGGAATCTAGAGACCTGGAAAGCCCTAGGAGCCCATACATCACACAATAATGGTTGGCAAGAATGATTTTGTGAGCAGATTGCCTTCAGATTGAAAGTATTTGCACATAACAAAGAAAAAGTAATAGGAGGATGAAGAAAGTTATTACTTTATGAAGAATTTCATGATATGCATGCTTAATATGAATAGGATGAATAATCATGGTGGGTGAGATAAGCTTGGCATACAGCATGGATGGAAGAAATCAGAAACACATTTAAAATTCTGATTGGGAAGCCTTAAAGGAATAGGAACTAGAATGAACTGGTTCTGAATAGGGTCAGATTGTGAACTGTTGTAAATACGACAATGAACCTTTAGTTTCCATAAAAGCAAAGAGGGATTTCCTAACTAGCAGAGTGGTTCAGTTTTACAGTTTCACTTTATGAAAAGCACTCATCACCTAGAACACCCTTAAATCCTATTGACATCAAATTACATTAATGTGTACTCCACTTCTCAGAAAATATATTTCAGCTGATATTAATGTTACCATTTAACCTTATTTTTCTTTGTTATCTTCATTTTGTGCATAAGGTGTCTTGAAACATTTCAGCTTCATAAAACATTCCAAGTTTTATTACTAGTCATATGCTCTTCAAAGTTCTTTCAAAATTAATATTTAGGAAAAAGGAAATCCCTTATCTCACAAATTAAAAATAAGTCCACATAACCCAGATTTGTAATAAACACCTGAAATATTCAACCAGTCTGTCATCAAATTTTGAATCCCCCAAGATTCAGAACTTTGTCCATTTGTTTCCATAACATATGTTGATGGTTTTCTTCTGGTTGTTGCACAATGTAGTCTGGTAGAAGTTTACTGACCAAACCATCTTCATACTCACTGCTGTGAGAACCTCAAATCCTTATCATATATGTTAATCATCTTCAAAAAATACTGTGGAGGGTGAATCATGTATGCAGAACATAGTTCAGTTCTGAATGGGGGGGAGAAATTTGAATGCACTAGAAGTAACCAGTGATAATATAAGTAAAGTATTCTAGAAATTTTAAGAAAATAACTATAAAACCAAAGAAGAAAGATTCCATTTTGTAACACCCTACTAGAGCTAATACTGTAAAGGTTTATGAAGATGTTGATTTGTAACTTTTAACATTTTTATATTCATGAAGAATAGTTTTAAAAGGATAAAGTACCTTTGCAGATTCTGTTAACATTTTTCTTCCTGTGGACAGGTTTTGTTGTGGAACATTCTGACATAGTTTTCATAGCAGTAAAGCCACATATACTGGACTCAGCAATAGAAAACATGAAGGCAACCCTGGCCCAGCTAGTCCCCACTAAACTGTTTGTGTCTGTACTTGCTGGTACAACTTTGGAAGTGTTAGAAAAGGTGGGATTTTTGCTGGTCTGATGAGGTTAAAGTGCAAAATACAGTTTGGGTCCCCTATCATGTCACATTTGAAGGAGATTTTTATACCGCACCACAGCTGGTAAGGTCAGGTTTGGCTTGGTTTTGTTACATTGGGTTAGATCAGGTTAACTTAACATAAAGGAAACCAAACTGCATTCTGCACTCTTACCAACTGATTGCATGAGGTAGGAAGTAAATTAAATGTAATGTGGTTTGTTTTCAGTGTCATGTGTAGAAGAGTTCCACATAATATTTTTTTAGAAATTCAACTGCAAGTTAGAAATGTTTTATATACAAATTAAGTTTTAGGGTTAAAATATAATCTGTAATATAAAATCTTTCCATCTCCGAATTTCCTTCCATGCTCTCTGCCTGGTGGTTGTTAGACCATGCAATATATAGTTCCCAGGTATTTTATTGCTTTACTATGTTACACCGTGGTGACACATGATCAAAAAGATGTGTGATGTCACATCCTGTCATGTCCACTTCATGAAGTTTGATGTTTGTCCCTTATATTACTTATTTTCGTGTGTCATTTAACAGGTTAAGGTTGCCACTTAATATTTGTTTATCAAATCTGTTAATGTGGAATATTAATCTAATACAGCATACACATAGTTACAGGCATTAATTACATGCATAATTTAAGAGAAGTAATTTCATTAGCTTTGTGAAATTTATGTTAGAAAAATTCAGACAAAGAACACGTACTTGAGCCAGTATCATTGATGTCCAGTTCTGACAACTTAGTGTGCACTGACTAACACAGTATATTTTTCATTCCCCACAGTGAACAAATACAAATATTCAAAAAAGTTTCAGGCAGTATTAAACCAGTGTAACGAGAAAGTATGAACTCTATGGTTTGTAATGAAGTATTTTAGAGTGAAGCGCTCTTTTTTACTATCGTGTCCAAAAATTGTTTCAGAAACTTTCTGAGGTCGTCACTGAAGCCAGAGTAATACGTGTGATGCCAAATACTCCCATGATGGTGGGAGCTGGTGTCTCAGGTGAGAACTATATTCTAGTCAGACTCTTATTGGTCATTTCCACCCTGCTCTGATACAAATCTGTGAAACCACAAACTTGTAAACTTCACTATTTTCTTGTTCCATATTTCTTATGATTTTGTTTTTCCTTCAGTGTACTCAGCTGGAAGAAGAACCACTTCTGAGGATTTAACTATGATTGGGAATATTTTGTCTGTGGGAGGAATTAGTGAAATGGTTCCAGAATCTCTGATTAATGCAGTTGGGGCAGTTACTGGTAGTGGACCTGCTTTTGTGAGTATACATGAGACATTTCCTGCCAGAAAGAGATGGGACTACAAGGTTGTAAGATTTAATAGACAGCTATAAGAATATTCATCTGTTTGATAGCCTTTAACTTGTATCAACAGTATAGGTTGAAGATGTCATGTTAATATTTAACATTTTAATACATTAAGGGTAATATTCAGAAGTATTGTGTAACCTGAAAATATGCTAAAGACTAAATAAGTAGGTGCCCCTGATGATGATCCTAATAAGAGCTTTGAATTAGTATAAATTTGGTAACTTGTAATTTTGCTGGTTATTTTTCAGCAAAGTAATAACTAACAAATGATGAAACTCATCACTATTCAGTTTTCCTCATCTCTTTTACACTAATGTTCTCAGTACCAGTCCTTAAACACCCGCATTCTGTGATCTGTTAATGTGAGAGGACCAAGTTAGTAATTACATTATGAATCAACTATTTTCACAAACTTCTGGACAGTCTAAACAACTGCAATATCTTTGTATTCAATATTATTATAAACAGGTGTATATTATGATAGAAGCCTTGTCAGATGGAGCAGTCAAGATGGGCTTACCACGCAGCATGGCATTGCAGTTCTCAGCTCAGACTGTGTTTGGTGCAGCAAAGATGGTGCTCCAGACCAAAAGGC